CAATGTCCCGTCATGTGTGCAACAACCCAGGCCTCCACCCTCACCCACTTCTGCTCCGCTGCTCCACCTGAGCCCTCATAGCCAGTCCTAGCAGACCCGTTCCCGCACTTACTACTTCTGATGCCCGCTGTGTGGGGTTTTGTCAATTTCGTTAATAGGATCCTATGTTATTATTTCTTTGTGCAAACCTGAGACCACCATTCACCACCAGTTCATAACTCCAGAAGGATGGAACAGATGCTCCTGGCTACAAGGTTAAAGGCAACCAGTCTCGGTATTTCCTCACTGCGGCATCTGCCTATGCACAGTACTTGGCACACAGAATCCCAATGGAAGGTTCTGAATGAACAAAAAGAAATGAACGAATGTCTCCAAATGCCAAGTTAAATATTTTCTTACATAAAAACAGTTTACATGGAATGAGACTGTTCTGCAAAAGTTTTTGATACAAGGCCTCGCCGGTGGCACAGCGGTTGAGCGCTGGGCTGCGAAGCTGCCTGCAGCTTCTGCAACGCCGGTTCAATCCCCAGCCGCTGGGAGAGGGTCCCACATGGCGCGCAGACTTCTCCTGCCACCCGCTGCTCCCCTCAGCAGTGTCCTTCGGTCCTTCTGCCTGCTCTGCTCCCCGCTCTGGCTCTGGTGAATTCTCTCACCCTCCTGCGCTCTGACTGTGCCCAGTGCTTGTATAAATAAATAAAAATTTTTAAAAACCAAAAAAAAAAAAAAAGTTTTTGATACATTTACAATAGAAGTGTCCATGGAAGGACAACTGAATCACTAAGGTGCTGTATGCACACACCATGGAATACTACACAGCCATGAAAGGGGGAAATACAGCCATTTTGAATCAGAACAGTAAAAACAAAAACTGGATATTTACACAGCAGACAATCTGATCGCACAAAACACTTTCCAAGACCAGTGGACATTAATCAACATCCTGAGGGTCTGAGGTTAAGATGGAGACGGAGGGAAAGCGTCAAGGGAACACAAGGGATGGAGGTGGGGAAAGTCAATATTTTTTTGGTGCATTAGATATTTTTACTTTTATGCTTTATAAGAACAATTATTTCTCGGGGGGAAATCGCACCTGACCTATTTCAGAGGAAGTGGAGCAATAGCAGGATTCCATCCCCCACATGGAAGGCGCTGCTGGGTTCTTAGAGGCAAAGTGAAGATGTCACTAGGAGTGTTTAGAAGCTCATCAGGCTGCTCCAGCATGAAGGGAGGACGAGCTGTGCATGGAAGAAAGACCAGGAGGTAATGGGCTGGGGAGGGAGGCGTATGACCACGATGAGGCTGGAAGATAAACTTCCTCCAGAAAATGGTGCGCACACAATAATAAACCTCGCAGTCCAGACACAAAAGTCAGAAGTAGACGTGGTCCATCCACACTGCAGGAGTCTCTTTCAGAAGCAGAACAACCCTGGACTCGCCACCTTCACGCTCCATGAACATGGAGACTGCCCTCACCTCCTGCAACCTCTAACTGGGGGTCTCTTCCTCTGCACGCATGTCATCCCTCGCAGCTGCGTCTCCATCCTAACAGACGACAACCACGAAAATCTACCAACTAGCAAAACATCAAATCCAAACAGCAGCCGTCGCTTTGCGCAGGGAGGCCCAGCCTCGACGCTGCCGCTGTGGATCGCAATTATTGGCGTTTTTTCCAGTATTACTGAATTATCACCACTTCTCTTCTGCTGTGATGTCCTTTGGGCTGTGGGGTATTTCAGGCCCTTGATTCCACTGCAGGAGACGCTGTATGGGGCTGGACTTCACAGCTCTAGCGTGGCGGCTGCCTCGAGGTGGTGAGCTCACTCCTGTCACTGTCACCCTGCACGGGGTCACATCACCTGCCATTACTGGCTGCAGGTCCTCAAGACGACACATGAGAAGAGACTCATCGAAGCCTAATCGAATTAGAACCTCACTTCTCCCCTGGGTTCGAGGTCACGCGGCCTAAAGGGATTTGTGTGTCAGGCTCTGCACAAAACTTTGAGACCAAGACACCTGATAATAAAACTCACCGCCTGGGGAGAAGAAAACCCCTTTCTATGAAGCAAACAGTGACTGGAGCCTTCACCCCATCCTCCAAGCCCATTTAGCCACGACCCTGGCCAGAGGAGCCACGGAGGTTCTGGGCAGGCACCTGAGGACACTCAGCGACGGGAAGGGAGGGTGGGTAAGCATCGCCACCATCTTCCTCAGAAGCAAGCGGCCCACCGATGTGGTCTGCAGGGACATTGATTTGTAACACGCCCCCGAAACAGCTAACATCATAATGCAAGGACACATCGATTAAAAAGCAATTTTAAGTAATGTCCCTGACACCTTAGAAACAAATTTCACAATGGGCATTTGTGCAGATTAGAGATGTGTGCAGGTTAGACATGGTCCCCCCAAGCCCAGCGCAGGCTCATTGCTGACAGCGACATCCTACTGGCCATTGGTACACCAGGTGCCAGGCGAGCGCAGAAGGCGGCAGCGAGCAGCAGCCCAGCGGCCACTGCTCGGATTTAAACTGACCTTTTCACAATCCTGACCTGAGAGCACCTTCCACTCTGGTGACAAGTCTCGTCTACACAGCACGACTCCCTTACCACCAAGGTGCAGGGCAGTTTACGGGCAGAGGGGGCCAGCTGTCCGTGTCCCTCCAGGCAAATCGTGGCAGCCAATGTCCAGCTTCCCGATCTAAATCACTCAGAGCCAAGGGCCACTTCCCGTTGGGCAGCCACAGCCGGGAAAACACCAGCAGAGGGAGGAGGGGGCATTGGATCTGCCGGGATGCAGCCCCGGAGCCCAGAACGTGCAAGGCCCAGCACACCGGGAAGGAAACAGCAGGAGACACACAAGTATTTGTGGAACGAATCATCTGAAATGCCTCATCTGGGCAGAGTCCAGGACCGTAAGATAGAGGACACCCCTCCCCTGCACGTCTGCCCCGCGCCCTGCTCTCTCTCGCCCTCGAGGTGCATGCGCGTTAGCACCCCCATCCCGGTCCCACCACCTTCAAGCTACTCTAGTGAACCTGTCCCTGTAACGGGGCCCAGGACACCCCCCCGGCAGGGGGAAGTCCTCCCTCTCCGGCTCCAGTGACCAGACGCCCCAAGCCAAGCAGCTCACAGGCACTCGTTTCCCTTGAGACAACAGCCCCTTTCAACGTGGATTTCTGCTTTAGATTTGATCCCAAAACAAAAATGCATTCCCAAAAACATGTTTATAGGACTGCAACTCAGTCACCCAACAGCCGCAGGGCCTCATTTTCCTTCCCCTCCAAATCAAGCTTCTGGAATAAGTAATGTCCACTCACCACTTTCACTGTCTTGTCCACCAAATAAGTAATTACTCTTCGACTCGCTGCAGTGTGCCTTCACTCTCTCCGCCTACCTGCAAGCTCTCCGGCAGATGTCACTGACAGCCTGCTCTGTGTCCAGAACAGCAAACACAGGGATACGACAGCCTCGTCCCCTCCCAGTCGACCGGGAATCCTGCCTTTTCCAGACTGTTCCCAGTGCAGAATTACGGTAACGAATGAGGGAAGAGTTGAAATGCTGCAACAGACAGACACTAGCAGGAAGGAACTGAATCAACATAGAAGAGAGAGCTGCTAGGTGGAAGGAAGGGCAGCTGGGGCTGCACTAGGGATTTTGGGGAATTCAGAAGGGAAATTCAGGAAAGCGGAAGAAACAGAGAGGGAGTAGGGAATTAAAATTGTGTTGGTATTTTTTAAAGATTTCAGCAAAGGGCCTCCCTGATGGCGCAGGGGTTAAAGTCTCAGTGCTATCAAGCTATCGCCAGCCACTGTGGCCTGAGTTCCATCCCCAGCCAGGGAGCAACCCACAGGGCCCAGCAGACCTCTCCTGTCTCCCCGCTGCTCCCCTCAGCAGTGTGCTTCGGTAGATCCGCCTGTTCTGCTCCCCACTCTGTCTCTGGTGAATCCTCTCACCCTCTTCCCCCGTACCTCTGGCCTACACCCCAGTTCTTGTATGCATAAATAAATAAAAAATAAATATAGATTTCAGCAAAGATGCAAATGTCTCCCCCAGCAACCAGGCTTGACCACTCCCCTTCCTGGCATGTCCCTCCACAGCACCACCATGTCACGGTTACACAGACTCTGCCTAAGTAACCTGAGGAAGGAAACACTGGATTCACAGTCATTTAAATATCAATACCCCACGCAGCGCTTTTCACATCACAGATGCTCAGTAAACATTTATTATTATATTAATAAATATTTATTATTGTAGATGGAAATGCGCTCCACCAAATTCATATGCTGAAGTCCCAAATGTCAGCACCTCGGAATGGGACCCTATTTGGATATTGGGTCATTGCAGATGGACTTAGATAAGAGGAGGCCATGCCGAGTGGGGCGCTCATGCAGTTGACTGGTGTCCTTCCACAGAGGAGAAACTGGACACAGACACAGGAGAGCACAGCAGGAGAAGGCAGAGGTCAGGGTGAGGCTTCCACAAGCCAAGGAAGATCAAAGATTGACCCCAAATCCCCAGAGCTGGGAGAAAGGCCTGAAGCAAATCCTCAGAAACAACCAACTCTGCCCATACCCTGATCTCAGTCTGGCCTTCAGGACGTGAAAGAACAAATGTCTGTTGTTTAAGTCACTAGCTCTGTGGTACTTTATTGTAAGCTGAGGGTACGTACACATTCACTGGGCAAATAAACAAATACAGTTACTCTGAGTGATGTGTCCTTCCTAAGCAGCAAACACAACATAAATACCAGAGGCTCACGCAGTTCTGCCCGCAATCTCAGTCAATATATGCTTCCTCCTCTGAATATTTTGAAAGGAAAAATTTTTTTCCACACAATGTTTCCTCACTGGAGTTTTATTTCTACTTGGAGAAAACTCTACAGGCAGGAACAGTTACCAAAGGGCAGCCCCATGTGCATACCAAAAGCATGACAAGAGCTGTGTGGGGCAGGAGGCAGGTTAGTCACCCCGGCCTTGCTCTGGTGTTTCCTCCTCATCTTACCTCCACGCAAGGCCTTCTCTCCTCAGGCCACTTCTCCTCAGCTTTTCAGCAGATCTGTGGACACCACCGTCCCTGAAATGGAAAAGAAGATGCATCAGGCAAACATCATCTTCCAGTCACCTCCCTGTGTCTGTCACCAGTTCTCACTCGAAAACCCAGCACAGGCTCAGTGGAGGAAGCCAGGAACGGAGAGAAGGACATTTCACTACCTGAGTCCGATGGCCCGGGGCTGGAGCGAGTCACTGCTATGGTGGCAAAGACCATCAAGGGAGTGTAAACAAAACCCAGCCCCGGATACGCAGGAAACGCCTCCTCCAACATTGTTTTAACACAATTAAAAAAAAAAAAAGGATTCGCGGTCCACTGAATTGTAACCTCTGTGGGTGAAAGGTATGATGCTGATGTCATATCAACCATACTATTAATTAAAAAAAGACAAAGAACCCAGGTTGAAGGGAAACCAAGATCAGAGCTCGGGGGGATGCGGAGGCCGCTGTGGAGCAGGGGTCGACACCTGCGGAAGGGGCGTCTAGAGAGCTAGCAGACCTCGGCGGCACCTACGCAGATGCAGACTTAAAATCTATTGTATGGGGGTGGGAGGGGAGGGATTGGGGTCAAAATGGGGGGGTTGCAATTGTATGGGGAATATAAAAATAAAATCTATTATTTAAAAAAAAATCTATTGTATATTTACAACAACTTAAATACTGTCGGTGCAGCTCTTGTATTAATTATATGGTGATCCTGCCAGTGGGCATGCAAAGTAGTCCAATGGCTATGGAGAGCTGTGTGGAGGACCCTCAAACTACTAAAAATGGAGCTGCCATATGACTCAGCAAGTCCACTCTTCGGAGTCTACCCAAAGGACACAAAAACATCAATCCAAAAGGAAACCTGCACCCCTGTGTTCATCGCAGCACTATTCACAGTAGCTATGATATGGAAACAACCTAAATGCCCCAAAACAGATGAGTGGATCAAGAAGATGCGGTCTATTTACACGATGGAATATTACTCAGCAGTCAAAAAGATAAACTCATGCCATTCGCAGCAGCACAGATGGAGCTGGAAGGGATCACGCTCAGTGAAGTAAGTCAGAAGGAAGGAGGAAAATATCACATGGTTTCACTTATAGAAGAAGCACAGGGGACCAAACAAGGGGTCAAGAGGAAAAAAGACAGAACTAACAGGGAAACTATAAATCGGAGACATCCAGCAGGGGATGGGGAAAGAGAGGAGTCAAAAGTGAGGGGGAAGAGCACAATGACTGTGGTGACAGATCGCGGGTGTCTTGGTGGTGGTGATTTTATGGGGATTACACTGGAGAGGAGACAGAACAATGATGTAAAAATATATAAATTAAAAATAAAAAAATTATACAGTGATATATATGTAACATGTTAGTAAATTTTAAATTTTTTGAATAAAATTAATACTCAAAATTAAAAAGCGGCAGTTGACCACATACTCCTGTAATACAGGTCCTTGATGAACCTGTAAGCTGCGACAACAGAGCCTCAAACCACATCACTCAAAACCTGATAGTAACAAGGGATCAATGTATTTTTACATCTTCCTCTCAGAAAGTATAGTGTAAGCAAATCAAAAAATAGTAAGAATCATGATTTGATTAAGAAACTAGTACACTTGGGCCTCCCCTGGTGGCACAGGCAGTGGAGCGCCGTGCTGTGACGCTGTCCGCAGCCTCTGCAGCACAGGTTCCATCCTGGCCCACCAGGGAGACACCCACATGGCACAGCAGACCTCTCCTGTCTCGCCCGCCGCTCCCCTCAGCAGTGTATTTCAGTCAGTCTGCCTGTTCTGTTCTGTCTCTGGTGAATCCCCTCACCCTCCCACACATCTGGCCTGTACCCCATTCTTGTATGCATGAATAAATAAATGTTAAAAAAAAACTTTGGAAAAAAAAAAGAAACTAGTACACTTAATAAATATGTAGAGAAACAAAGAAAAACTTTCTTTTTCATTGTACATGGACCATGTGTAGGAACTTAAATGTCAACATAGAAACATAATGGGGGGAAAAAATGTATGTTTTGAAACTCTGAAATGTATACATAGTTGTGGCTAAGAGGAAAACACAATGAATATTTCAAACCAAATACACATCCTAAAAATAAATCTAAGGGGTATTGAAACCTAAATGTGAAAAGCAGAACTTGAAGACATTTAGAAGAAAATACAAGACTACTTTTAAAACCTTAGGAGAGATAAAGGCACAAACTACAAGTGAAAATTTGGTAAATTGGACCAAATTAAAAGTGAAAAAATATTGATCAACAAAATTAAAGAAATGCAAGCCACATACTAGTAGATATTTGCGATGTACAATACTGAAATGAAGGCTCAAGATGATCCCAATGAAGTCTATACATCAAAAAGAAAAGAGATACCCCGAAATAAAAAATGAGCAAAAGATAGGAGCCATTCATAGACTGATTTTATATACGTATATACACTGCATTATTACATTATTACTATACACTGTGGACATATCATAAATAAGTTATGCTGTATATAGTTACTTCGTATGCATGAATATAAAAAATCCAGTTGTTTTATATAAATTATATAAACCATTTATATATGTAAATAGTTTATATATTTAATAGTTTACATATATGGTAGTTACATATTAATAAGTTATTTGTATATGCTTTATATGCAAATTTCCCATATATCTGTATTTTTATATATCTGAAGTGGTTATATATAAAATATACATATTTTTTACATATTTATGCAGGGGAAAGAGAAGCAGCAATTCAGGATAATGGAAGGGAAGGGGGCGGAGGACCGGGGTGTGCACAGGAGCCTCCGTGACGCCCCAATGCTGTATTATCTTTTAGATCAGAAGCCAGGACGTGGCACTCCACCGAGCCGCTGTGGACTCGCACGGCCTGTCTGTTATTCTTTAACTCTCGTGTCTGAACGCAGAAGTTTGGAATACTGTATAATTTTAACAGAAAAGAAAAATGTGACGCCTCCAGGCTACATCCTGAATAGGGGGGCATCGCGGACCTGAGTGCAGCCCGCAAGCAACTTCTAATACCATTGCAGGAACAAATGAACACAGCATAGCTCCCCCAGCACAGGCACCCGCACCTCCGGCCCCTCGCCCTCCTCATGCCCTCGGGCACCAGAAAAGCAGATGAGATCTGGCAAGCACAAGGGGCAGCTCCGGAACACGAATAAATGGCACAAAAGGAGAGAGGAGCCGGGAGAAGGCCCTGAAACCACACTGTCCACACAGCCGCATCTGCCCTGCTGGACAGAGCAGTCCACACCCAGGTGCGGAGAACCTGAGCCCGGGGGCCAGGCAGGCAGGGGCCATGCAGGAGGCCCTGAGCCCGGTCGCCTGTGCCCGGAGCATGGCGAGGTCAGAGGAGCAAGCAGCAGAGAGAGCAGCTGCACACTTCAACAGCAGCACCGGGAGGGGCTGCAGATAATGCAGAGTCGGAGGCTAACTACACGGGCTGGTGCCCACAGTGTCAACAACACATTAGACACGGTTACGTGACACCGGTCGCATCATCCCAGCGAGTCTGCTGTTGCTCGAAATAGTCCGGGCACCATTTTTTGGGCAATTCCTTTCTAAACCGGGTTGGGTTGGGTTTTGGTTTTTTTTTTGTTTTTTTTTTTAATCCAACAAAAGAAAGGAGATATTTTCCTAAGTCATTCTTGATCCCAAACAATATTGTCCAGAGGGGGAAGGGCTGTTCTGGAGTTTTCTCCGTAAGGGACCATGTGGTCCTCATACCCACGCCCCAGGAAACAAGGACTTTGACCACCTCCATTTCAGTCGAGGAAACTGGGGCACAGAGAAATTAAGTGCCTTCCCATGGTGGCAGAACAAGCACCTGAGGGAGCTGGGACGTGGACTGGGGCACCTGGCCCAGGCCCCACCCGCCTCCTCTCTCCGGGAACAGGCACTGACTGGGTGAGTGCGGGGCAGACCTCATATTGACCCAACTTGCTCCCTAAAGAATTCAGGCCTCTTTCGTCTGTTGAGGACATGTTCAAAATTAGATACGAAACTTCAGCTTGCTTGGGTTTTCAGTCGCGTCTCAGGCCGCCATGCACTGCAGGCGGGTTGCAGGGGAGGCCAGGCCCCTGGTCAGACCCTCCACAGACCCTCTCACCCGCCCCTTCCTAGGAAAAGAAAAGGCTGCTCAGAAGCTTCAGAAGCTCATGCCCACACTAAGGGCCTGGAATTAGGGGAGCTAGCAGGAGCCCCCACCCCGCAGGGGCTTTCCCGGGGGTAGGGAGGAGCAGAAAGAGAAAAACCAACACAAGGTGTCAGGGGGTTACAGATGTGGGGTCACCCAAGAGCAGCAATGGCATGGGAGGGGACGCAGACATGAGGCTGCCGGCTCCTGACTGCTGACAGTGATGTTAGGGGGACAGGAATGAGGCACTGCAATATCCCCCAGGAGGGAAGTCATCCTAGTCAGCACCCCGGGGCCCTGCGGAGAGGAGCAGAGACCAAGCAGCTTCCCGCCACTGAAACCGAGGTGCAGGGCCCAACAGAAAACCAAGAAGAAATGTGATCAGAAGTCTGGTCTAGGGGAAACATCCTGGGGGGGCTAAGGGTCCCCAGGGACCAGGGCCTGGCTCACAGCCCAGTGCCACCTTCATGCCCGCGCAGCCCCCAAGGCCCTCCCAGGATGGTCCAAGCTGGCCCGAGCCTGCACTCTGCTAGCGTCCTAGGTCAGTGGAGCGGACGGAGGAGGAAGGCTGCTGCCATCCGCAGGAAGGGGGCCTGGCAGGTATGTGGGATCATAAAAAATCAGACTTTTTTAAGGTATCTCCATACTGTTTCCTGTAGGGCTGCACCACACTGCATTCCCGCCAACCATGGATGAGCATTCCTTTTTCTCAACATCTCACCAAAAATGGCGACCCCATGTGCTCGAGCAGCACCTCTGCTGGTATTTACCCAAGAACATGAGACCTAATGCAAAGGCCCACGCATGCCTACGCCCAGGCGGCACGGCCAGCCGCCCAGCTGTGGAGCTGGCCTCAGGGCCGTGGGCAGACCACCGGAGAGAGACTGTGGCCTAAATTCCCCACAGAGTAGCACCCAGCTATTTAAAAAGATGAAAACGTGCCTCTGGGGGCAGAAGAGATGGGCCTCACAGAGGTGAGGCTGAGGAGCTAAACGAGAAAGTGAAAGACAGATTGCAGATGGTTTCACGTTTTAAAACATACAGGCGAGGCACAGCAAAAACAGCTCTCAGACTCAGGGACTATATACTGGCTACCAGAGGGAACAGGGGGGAAGCAAGAGACGGGGAGAAGGGGTCGGCCATTGGCAGGGGAAGGTGGGTGGAAGGTGCCCAGAGGGAGGAGTAATACTGGATCTCCCAAGATAGACATGGGAACAACTGCCAAATTCATAAAATCAGATGATAACAGTGTTTCTTGCTTCTTCAAAGTACCTGCTTAGAAATCCCACATTGGAACCTTTGCAGGCAGCCCGGACCTTGTCAGTTTTTGAGGTCACAGCTTAGTAATGTCACAGGCTGAGCCGCTGTGCCTCGGGCCTGCCCGAGGCGCCCCCTGCACGCATGCACTTGAGTCAGGAATCCGCCTGAACAAAGGCACGAGAGAAGATGGGCTGAGTGGAATGGAGAAGGGAAAAAAATGAGCAGAGACAGCACCAAGTCTTAACAGCTATGCAGCCACTCCTTAAAAGGCAGGCAGGAAAGTCTGTGCCTTTGCAAGAGAAGTGGCAAATTAGGGGCACCTGTTTTAAAGGGGCTCCACAAAAGATGGGCATTTACAAGACAATACAACTTAACTAAAATATCCCTTTCTATGGAAGGATGGGCAGAATCCGCCTGCAGTTACCCCCATCTGGGACTCGAGGAATTTCCCAGCTATAAAATACTCTAAACAGCCACCAGTCGGCCCCCACCACACACCCTCCCTGGAATATGACACGCCAGATCCTATCTTCATTAAATTCTACTCCTCCATCTCAAGAAGCCAGGGTACAAACAGGGAGGCAGAGGCCGAGGGGAGGTGAAGCCGCCACTTACGGGTCAGTACCTAAGCAGGGTTTTTAGAGGTTTGCCACGCTGGTAGACAGGGAGCGCCGAAACTTCACACCTGATCCCTGCAGGCTTGGAAGGGTTTCCTAACGCCTGCGGCTGTGTCAGCTATGCTGATACTCTAACACTGACCTCCCACAGGTCAGAAGCCTAAACAAACAGAAAATCAAACAGAGCGGATTTTAAGAAAGGTCGTGGTAACATACATCTGAGGAGGTGTGCGCCTGTGTCTCTGAATCACATACAATCTTGTAAACCAACGTTACTGCAGTAAAAAAAATTACCAGATAAATAAAAAGGCCAAATGCAGTATTTAGCAGACGTGTTATATGCACAATACTGTCCACACACTGCAACAGTTGTTACAGGGCAGCCCCGATATAAAGCGGGTGGCCTGGCTGTGGGTCCTCACCCGCGCGCTTAAAAGGGACTTATGAATACTCCACTGCAGGCACACACAGAAGGTTCATAAAAGGTTTATTTACAAGGAAAGGGGAAATGAGGAAAATGTACAACTCAGGGGGAAAATAGGGAAATAAAATCTTAAATGCGTCCTACCCGGGCCGCCGACCTGGAAACCCTGTGGCACTCTGAGAGCTGGCTGAGAGCCTCAAGCTGGCGGAGAGCCAAAAGGGCGCCCCTCAAGGCCCACGTGTCTGGCTTTATCCCAAACCTGGCTGCTTAACCTCACCCTCAGGTCCCAGCCACCTTCCCTTGGGTGGTGACGGGATTTGTCTTTCCCAATGTCCTGATGCTTTGGCCTGGAGTGGGGGTGGCGTCCACAAAGCCTGCATGGAGTTTGCTCAGGACATCCTCTCCCCCTAACACAGCGAAGATTATGTAAAGTCTGCAGGTACCTCACCTTCTCGGCCTCTCCACAAAGCCAAGACCCCAGCTCAACCCTCAGTACAAGGAGGTCTTCAGCCCAGCCGCACACCCCGGTTCTGCCTGGCGCTGCTCTGCAGAGCGCTAGAGGTGTTTTTCTTACTTAGTTTGGGTTTTCATTTTAACTGTGAGATGTTTCCATCCACTCTTAATTCCCTAACCCTGTGTCTGCAGGATGTCCACGCCGCGAGAGTCAGGAGAGCAGTAAAACCACCCCATAGATAAACGCAGTGGTATCCACAGCCAAATTAAATTAAATTATTGAATTTAAAATGGGCAAAGGACTTCGATAGGTGTTTTCAGGAAGAAGACATACAGTGGTAAGCAGGTGGACAGAAAGATGCCACATCACTCATCGTCAGGGAAAGGCAAACCCAAACCACCAGGAGAGCCCCCTGCACCTGTCAGGAGGGCGGCTGTCAGGAGGACAGGAGGTGCGCGGGGCAGGTGAGGCTGTGGAGGAAAGAGCACCCTGGTGTTACTGGTGGGGTCCAAAACAGGGCAGCCCCTGCGGAAAACAGCCCCGCGGGTGGGTCCTCAAAAAAGAAAAATAATCCTGCCCCTTGCGACAAGGATGAGCCGGGAGGACACGGGGCTAAGGGAGCGGGACAGACACCCCGGGGATGGTGTGGCGAGGGGGGGCTGTGGACCTCTTAGGGGGGAAAGCGGCCGCCAGGGTTGGGGTGTGGAGCTGGCTGGGTTGGTCAAGGGTGCAGACTTGCAGCCGAGGATGACCAAGGCCGAGGAGCCGATGTCCAGCACGAGACGGCCGTCGCGGACACTGTTGTGTAACTGGGATTCGCGAACACAGGGAATTCCCACCGTCTCGCCAAGAAACAATAATTCTAATTTTTAAATAAATACACCGTTAGGCCAAATTTGGTGAAAATGGTAACTATTTTCTTTCCTTTAATGTAAAAAGAAGAAAGAAGACAAGCTGGCGGGGTGCAGTCTTTGGCAATGCAGGGGATCAGAGGCGCCCCCTGGCCCCCAGGCCCCCAGGCCCCCTGGCCCCCACGCGCCAGGGACTCCAGCCCAGGGCGTCCCGCCGCTGCTCCAGACCCCACCCGGGTCCTGGCCTCCGAGCCAGTGCACACCGCCCCGGCACCTGCGCCCCTGCGCGCCCCCCGCCCGCCCGCCCTGTCCCCCGACTCCGGGCGCCGCCCGCGCAGCCCCACGGCTCCAGCTCTCCGGTCCCTTGGCCGCGCCCCCGCGCCCCCATCCCCGGAGCCCTGATCCGCGCTCGCGCGCGCCCCCCGTGACCCCATCCCCGAGCCCCGACCCGCGCCCTCGCGCCCCCCCCACCCCCGGCCCCATCCCCGAGCCCCGGCCCGCGCCCTCGCGCCCCCATCCCCGAGCCCCGGCCCGCGCCCTCGCGTCCCCATCCCGGAGCCCCGGCCCGCGCCCTCGCGCCCCCATCCCCGAGCCCCGGCCCGCGCCCTCGCGCGCGCCCCCCGCGGGCCCCCACCGGAGCCCCGGCCCGCGCCCCCATCCCCGAGCCCCGGCCCGCGCCCCCCGCGGGCCCCCACCGGAGCCCCGGCCCGCGCCCCCGCGCCCCCCGCGCGCCGACGTCCGGCCTCACCGTGCGCCGCGGGGTCCTTCGGCCGCCGGGGGCTGCGGGTGCCGCGAGCCCCGCGCCACACCGCGACCCGCGGAGCGCGAGCCGGGCCGATCCTCGCAGGAGCCGGGCCGGGCCGAGCTCCCCGCCGCGCAGCATCTGGGGGAGGAGCGGCGCGGGAGGCGCGCAGGAAACCCGAGAGGTGAGGGGGCGGGGACCGGGGCGCGGCGCCTGGGGAGGGGCGCCCCAGCCCGGCCAGGCCCGCGCCCGCACCCGCGGCCGGCCGGACGCAGCGACCCCCGCGCGGGGCCGCGGGAGGCGGGGACGGCCCGAGGGTTCCGCCCCCCGAGCCCCGCGGGTCGGCGCCCGCGGCTGGAATTTGCGCGCGTCCCCTTGGCCGCCTCTGCGCGCCCCTGCAGGCCTGGGGCGGGGGACAGTCCCAGAGCTGGCTTTGAAAACACTCGGTTCTTCTGCTGGGGACGGCGCGGGGTCTTGCGCTTCTCAAACCCCAGGTGCCCCCAGAAAGAGCAACCCCGCTTGGTTGGAGCAGTGAGGCGGGGCGGGCGGGGCACCCGGGGGCTGCTCAGGCCTCAGCTCCAGCGAGGCAGTGGGTGCCAGTTGGGTCCCCGTTTCACAGATGCGGAGACCGAGGCACCCTCCGTGCAGGCCAGGGACGTGGGGTGCATGAGGCCGTGCCAAGGGGACCCCAGCTTTGGCTGGCAGGAAAAGGCAGGTGGACGTCTGTGCGCTCGTGCGCGCGCTGCACGCGTGTTTTCTGAGGAGTTGGGGCCTTACTATGGCCTGAGAATCCCTGGCGCTGCCCCGGCCGGAATCCCCTGTGTGCGCCGGCTGCGGGCGAGGCCAGCCGCCCTGGGTCAGCCTGTGCTCCGAGAGCTAGTGGGGGGCCGGCCAAGACGACCCCCAGTATTTAGGGAGATGGAGTGCCCACGCCTGCGAGCCAGAGAAAGGAAAAGGCCTGGTGGGTGGAGCCGCGGGGTGGAGGGAGCCGCAGGAGGGGCGCATAGTAGCACCAGCCCCAGCCTGGCGGATTCAACTCCCCCGCGCCTCTGCGCCTCCGCGCCGCGCCGCGCCCCTCCTCTGCCTTCGGTTTCCTGGGGTAACCGGAGGAGCCCACACTGACAGCAGCAGAGCCAGGCAGGATGCACCTAAAGGTGGGGCTGACACCAGCCCAGAGGGCGAATGAGGTAAAACAAGCCCTCCCAGAAGTCCCCCCCAGCCTCGCTGGCCCTCCCCGGGCCCTCCCAGGATCAGGTGTCTGGCCCCAACCACGCCTCCATCTCCACAGAGGGGAGGCTCGGAGGGCTCAGGGGTGTCCAGAGGCCCAGCCGAGGCAGGGGAGGTGGGTGTTAACCCGGGCGAGGGGAGAAAGAAGGGGCACGACCCAGAGAAAAGAACTTGGGGAGGGGCCAGTGTCCCCGCAGGGACCTGTGCGCTCACCTGGAACCTTGAAGAGGCCGCCAGAAGCGAAGGGGAGACCCTGAGCCGGGCATCCAGCTGCGGGAGAGGCGCTGATAGGGCAGGGCTGTCAGGAAGGCCACGCCCACCGTGGCTTAACCTGGGACACACCTGCCGGCAGAGTGAAAGCAGGTGTGCGGGCCCTAGCACCGGCCTTGGCCCTGCTGTGTGAGGCCGGGCCGCTCCCTTCTCTGCAGGGCAGACCACTGCCCTATGCCTCAAATGTACCCCTCCTCTGCCCCACGCCACTCCAGAGCAGGGGGCCCTGGCGGCCACACAGCACCCCACCTTTCAGGTGGCTGAGACCCAAAACTGGGCCTCTCCGCTTCCGCACAGCTGACTCTGGGCCAGGTGGTTCTTTGGTGGGGGCTGTCCGGGGCACTGTAGGCTGTTTGCCGGCGTCCCTGGCCTCTGCCCGCTACGTCTCGCCAGGGGGCACCCCCCCACCGGGGTACACGTGTGAGTGGTGTCTTCAGACATTGCCAGATGTCCCCAAGGGAGCAGCCCTGCCCCCACTGAGAACCGCCACTCTGAGAGGAGACAGTGGACTCATGGGGAGCGCAGGCCGGACAGCCATGGCCCGGGAACGGCCGTCCCTCAGGCGGGAGGTCGCCCTGCCAGGGACCAGCATCCTTCACAGTTGCCTTCTCTGGTCACTCCAGCCTCCCTGAGGGGCCCGGCCCTTTGCCATTGCTGGATTCCCTTCCCTCTGGAATGTTCCTCTGGTGGAGATTCACAGGCCTCTCCTGGCTTCATCCGGACCCCTGCCCGGGTTCCCCCACTCCAGGCAGTGGGGGCCTCGGCCCATGTGCTCCTGCTTTGCTGCCTGAAGTGGCCGGAACATGCCCTCGTCTGCCCTTCCAGAAGGGACGCCCGCTGGACCAGCGGCGAGTGGAGACTGGAACCACGCCTGGCAAATGTATAAGCCGGGGTGAAGGACTGGCAGTGTGGGGTGCAGGGGCTGGAGGGGGAACATAGCAGGGGGCTCTTTCATGCCACTGTGTGGGGCCCAGCAGCTGTGGGGGGACATGGCCAGCCCTTCCTCTCCCTCCTAAGTGTGCTGATGATCTGGGGAGGTGAGAGAAGTGGGGGCAGGGAGGGGAGCACTTGCCTGTTCCTCGCCCATCTCCTGGGAAATGCTTCATTTCTAATTAAAGAGCCCGATGCAAGCCCTAGCATCGCTGAGACCGTCCCAGGCCCCTCGTGCAAAGTTGCACACTCACCAGAGGTTCAGGAGGCCGGGGACACGGCGTTCCCCGGGCAGCCTCTGTGCTAATTAGCCCCCGCCCCCCCCCAGCCTTTCTCGGAGTGTTGAAGCTCCAAGGTGCAGGCGAGGGCTGGGGGCCGTCTGATGTCTCCTCGGAACCGCACTTCCAAGCCCACTCAGTCTCCGCAGCCGCTGCCGTGGAGATTCTTCACACACACCCCAATCGACACGGTCAGTCGTCTGGAGGTTACCCTATCCCCTCCCGCAGGGGCTCCTGGCTGGTCCCGCAACCGGGGTCCGGGAAGTAGTCAGGCTCCCCTTCCGTCTCCTGGGACCGGCCTACCTCAGGCAGGGCCCCCGGGGTCTCACCATGTCCCGAGGCCCCTGGCACTTCCGTCCACCTCTCGGCGGAGCCCGGTTGGGGTGCGGAGCAGTGGCCGGCTGACTCCCACCCTGGAGAGGGCCGTCAAACAAAGACGGGAGGCATCACCTCGCTCTCTTCAGGAAGAGTCACCGGGCACCGCCCCGACTCCAGGCCAGTGGCACAGGGGCCAGCACGGCCGGCTTCCCAGTCAGGGAACCAAAAATGTTCCGGCAGAAGCCGTCAGGGAAGCAGGCAGCATCGGCCAGGAGCGGGGAGACCTGGCGGGCTTTACCCCTGTGGGCCCAGAGACCTCGCCCCTAAGCCCGAGCCCCGAGCAACTGGGTTACAGAGTTTTATTGACTAAAGCAAAGGGTACAAGCATCTGGAAATGCATAAATCAGGGTGTGTGTGTGGCCTTGGGGTGCTTACCAGTTGTCCCTAAAACTTTCAGTCTCTAGGCGATGTCCCGGCTTCCGCGCATCAGCTGCTCAGCCTGACACTTCCCCCCGGTCTGCCCCTCACCGGAGCCAGGCACCAGGAGTAGAGGTGCGTCTGGAAGCTTAAGGCTGGAAGTGCCACCTGCCCAAGAAGGTGATGGGGAGACCTGGATGTGAAGAGCCTGGTCCCGGGTGCAGCCCCACCCCCCACCCGGCATGGGCTACTCCAGCCGCTGCACCCAAGGGCGCTCACTCGTAGCCCTGGGGCATCCCCCACGGTGTGGCGATTGGTTGAACCTGTTTCGTCTGGGGGGCAGGAAGCCACCCACACCTCACCGCAACCCGGGAAGCCGTCCAGAAGCCGGCCCTTCAGGGGTCAGCGCCCTCGTCTAGGTGCATCCACCCGCACTGCCGGCAACCGTGCCCAGGCCCTCCTCTGACTGACCTGGAGCCCCCAGGCCGCACGCTGAGCAGAGGCGGGGGCTGGGAACGCGTGCGGGGCGGGGGGGGGGGGCCCATTCCAAGTGTGCATGCTCGGGCCCGCTGGCTTGACTGCAGTCGGGGGTGGGGAGCAGAGAAGAAGCGACTCAGGAGCCTGAGCCTCCAGCCCCCAGCACCCCCGTCTGTCACCCGGAGACAGCGCCGTCCCCCCTCCAGGTAGGCTGCGCCGCTGACCCTCTGTGGCCAAGGTGGGGGGACACGTGCCCCAGTTCTAAGCACCGTGTCAGGTCGGGGGACCACAGGGCAAGCCCAAAGAGCGAGGCAGGCAGTTTCCCGAGCTCCGTCTCAGCCCTCGCTGGTCCTGGCGTCGGCTTTGCTGTCATTTCCTGCCGTTGAGCACGCGCCGGTTCTGGGCCAGGAGACGCTTCATCCAACAGCTCGCTGGGCCTTCGCCTAGCGCCATTTATGTGCCTGACGGATCACCTCACCGGCAGGATGTGCAGCCTGTACTATGTGATCGACTCTTCCGTGTCTTGGCCTTGATCAGTCTTCGCTTTGCCTGCTCTGTGCCTCTCAGTGTGCGGAAACAGGGCAAGTTGATAAGGATCCTCTCAGGGCAAACGTCCTGGTGCGAGGATCTCTACATGCCGACAACAGCACGTGCAGAAACAGCAACAGGTGTGATGGCTGGAGCGGCATAAACACGGGGCCTTTCCTTGACTTTCTCCTTATTTCTCAGCCTTGGCTGGGGCCAGCCGGCTCCGCATCCCCCGTACACTCGCGCATTCCCCGTTGGCCTGCTGGCCTCTGATCTTTTTGCTCTGTCTGATTCTAAATAAAAATGAGACTGCTCTTGGAGCTGGGCTGCGCCTTCGTGGTGGAGTCCCCTCAGCTTCTCCTTGTTCTGGACATGGACTCTGAGGAATCCGTTTTCATCCCGCCGTCACACAGAACAAGACGGCGGGAGGACCCGAGGGTTAGCATTTCTCAAATCAAACTGACCCAGCGGTAGCTCCGAAGGCCTCTCCGGCCTCTCCACTGTGTCGCATGTCCCCATGGGGCGGCGGGACAGGGCCATGACCTGGGCCACGGTGTTCCTGGGCTGGACTCTGACCCTCAGGTAGGCAAACAACCCAG